GAAATGCTGAAAGTGTGAAAACCCCGCTCGAGCGGACAATCAAAAATCAAACTCCGCTCAAGCGCAAAGGAACCCGCTCGAGCGTACCACCAAAAATCTGGGCAACAAGGAATGGGACTAAAGCTCAACCAACCTATTCGAAACATGCCCAACACATCCTAAACCTCAAACACACGGAATTAAAGGATAACAACAAGATATACAACCACCAACTCCACAGAACCTAAGTCTGGAATACAACAATCAAAGGAACATAAACCTGGATCGCTATACATACAATGTCAATTCAAAATTCATAAATAATTTTATCAGTCAAACTACTACTCTCAATAGCAGTTTGCCAATTTCTCTTTTTTGATACTAGTATAATACCCATGCTATGCACGCGGTTAAAACAAATAATTAAAAATTATTTTTAAAATTAAATTATAACAAAAATTTTATTTATAATATAAAATAAAATTTATTTAACATTAATTAGTTTCCATATAATAATTATATTTACGATAAAATATAAATACATTTTGTCTTGATGAATTTTGTAATTTTAGCTTTTTAATTTACCAATTATCTCATATCTATTATGTAAAATCAATTACCTTATCAATAAATCAAAATTGAAGAATAAAAAAAAAAAAAATAGAGTATCAGTAACTCCAATCTTTAACCCACTCCTCTAATACGATTTTGATGATTTCAATCCTGCTAGGGATAACTTCTAAAATAGTCTCATTAAATATTATTTAATTATATTTACTAATATTTTAGAGGTTAGACCAATTGAACATTTTGCAAACCCTAAAGCCATTTTCTTAATTTGAACTCCATATAGATCATTTTTAATTTTTAATTTTTTATGTTTTTAATTGTTTTATATTTAAAAAATTTACAACTAATATACTAAACAAATAAATTAAACTGAATATGTATATAAAACAATTTAACTCTAGCCCATAGGCCTAATTTTTTTTTTTTTTTATAGTGTATTTGATTGAAAATGTGTTAGACCATTTTAGTGGCTAGTACCTAAATCTCAATATTTATTCAGTAGGTAACTTGAGGCAGAATGATTACTTAGCTTACAGTTAACATGGTTCAAATAAAAGGTAATGCATGTACTATATGTGAATTTATATTTTTTTTTCCTCATTTATTAATAAATTTATGCATAATCCACATTTCAAATAAGAATTTTATAAATTTTTAAGAGTTAATCACAAACTTTAAAAATAAAATAAAATAAGACATGATACATTATAAATATGTATGAAATAACTTTATTAATAAACCATTTTTATTAAAAAAAATTCTATACTTAATCAAATAGTTCTTCTAGCATTTGAAAATTTAATATTTATGAATAAATTTAATATTTTCAAATACTCCAAGCATGTTTCACATTTAAAATTTATGAATAAATTTATGTAATTTAAAAATTTTATACTTTATTAAAACTTGTAGCATTACAAAATCAATAATTAAGTTTTATCAAATATGCTTTAAATCGAATCATCAACCTATTTTTTAAGGGTAAATTACGAATACACTCCCTGAGATTTGCTTAAAATACGAATTGTCTCCTGTGGTTTGGAAAATTACAAATACTTCCCTGTCAGAATTTTTTATTCAACAGAATTAATTAAAAAAAGTGAAATTTCTAACTGTTCACCTATACAATAATAAAATTATCTGAATTATTAATTGAAATAAAATTTTAACATTATTAAAAATTGTTAATCAACTTGATGATTTATTAATAAAAGAACCTATTTGTTATGAAATAAGAAACCTTGGGGGCATAATGTAATTTCTAGAACCATAGGAGGTAATTTGTAATTTAAGTAAACCTTATGAGGTGTATTTGTAATTTACCCATTTTTGAAACAAAATTTTCTCATTCAAAATTTTGGCAAATATTTATTTAGTAAAACTATTCACATGTTAGTGCAAAGCTTGTATAACTTAGGCCCTAATCTAAATGCACCTTGTATTTTTAAAATTTTGTTTAATGTTTAGCATGTATATGTAAAATTTTAAATTATTAACTTAAAATAAGTTGTAAATTTATTTGGTGCAATGTAACTTTTGATAATCTATATAACATTTTTATTGTGTAAATATACATAATGCCTTAAAAGTAATTACTAAGATGAAAGATATGAGACTCTTGTATTCTTATGTATTTAAGGATTTCAAATAAGTTTTTAAAAAAAAAAAGTCACAAATTGTATTTTGAAAAACCTCTATTTTTTAGCCAAATAAGCTATAAAAATATCAAATAAATTATAATTTAGAATTACAACCAAATAAACTTAGTCACACAATAAAATATAATAAGTATAACATTATTTGAGAAAAAGTGCACCAACTATAAAATCTGAAAATTAAAATCAAACCTTATGAAAATTTTGAAATATGAAATTATGGAAATTACAAAACATAAATGCATAAGTAATATTATAACCATATGCATCATCCAACAGAAGAATAAACTTACAATGAAAATTTGTTAATAAGTATGCACATTTTCTCAATAGCCTATATCATCCATATTTATGTAGTTGATAAATATTGATTTTAAACCGTTGAACCTCGACCGAAGAGATTGGGGATTTATTTTATAAAATACACATAGATTAAATAAGCATGCAATAAATTTTTAAAAATTAACATAATTGTTAAATGCATAATAGAAATAAGGATGTGGGAGGCTAAAGATTAGAAATTGATCTCTATAAAAAAGCATAAACTTACAATGAAAAAAATTTATCAATTGAATTCTTCACAATTGCTCCATCACTAACAGTTACAACACTTGATGAACACCGACTCTAATTTGACTAGAATTCAATAAGTGCAAGAGAGAAGATTTATGGGATATGTGAATTGTTTCTCATAATTTGTGATACACAATTTTAAATTTTTAAAATTGATTTAGTCTTCTTTCTTTTTAAGAGTCATAAATTATGAGAAAATTAGATTATTATTATTTTTTAATAGTTATATGGCACACTTTTGAATTTTGAATGGGCTAGTATACTTTCTTTTTAAATTTCATAAATCATTAGATAGTTATATTTTTATTGTTGAGAAAGTTTTACCCAATAGACTTTTTTTAAATTTTTTTTAATAATAAATAAAAATTAATCAAGAAACTTAGTATGTGAGTTTGGAAATAAATAAATAAATAATGTAATTTTAAAAGCTTACTATATTGAATTTTGAAAGGAGCATTATTTTAAATTTTAAAAAAGATTTGTATATTAGTTATAGCATAGATAACGTGACCATTTGAAAGTTTTTTTTTATAAATTTTAGATTCTGTTGAATTGTTTATCATATTTAATAACACATAATTTTAAATCTTGAAATAGAAATATATATATATATATATATTTAAAAATCATAAATTATGGAATAATTAGAGCTTTTTTTATGATTATAATTAGATTTTAGTGAATTGCTTCCATATTAGTGGCACACAAATTTAAATTTTAAAATAATTGAGCATACATTCTTTTTAGAAGTCGTAATTTATGAAATAATTAGAGTTTAATTGTTATTGTTAAATTATAGTTAACTAATAGACCTTTTTAAAAATAAAAAATAATTAGATTTTAGTGAGTTGCTTCCATATATAGTAGAGTTTTATTGTTATGATTAAATAAGAGTTTAACCAATAGAATGCTTTTTATTATTTAAAAATCAAAAAAATTAGTTTGAAGGTTTAGAGCTCCACAAGCCTTATCATTAGAAAGATCCTTTTCCTTACATATATAGATTTTATTTGCATAGGATGATACATTATCTAAATATTATTATGAGATTTATTGTTGGAAATTTTACTAGGAAATCATCTTTCAAGGATTTCTATATTATTATCTTTCAATAAGTCCTATTATTTAGACATTTGATTCACTAAATCCTAGTTCTCATGTTTAAGGTATTTTTTGAATAATTTTACCCTTATAAATATTTTTTTAACCCTTAGCAATTTGGTGATGCGAATATTCATATCTGACAATGTGAATATTCACATTACGGAATACTAGCATATCATCCGTGCTATGCACGGGATAAAATAATATATTATTTAAGAAAAATATGATAATTATATTTAATTTTTTTATATTATGTAAAATAAAAATTAAATAGAAGCTAGCCAATCAAAATTTTCTTAATTGTTTAATTTTAAGAAAATAAAAAAAAATTAGTATGAGATTTTGATCATAAGAATTCTCACTAAAAATCTCATTTTGCTTATATAAATGAGAGTATAAGATTCACTTTATGTAAGTGAAACAATTCACTTTTTTCTTCTTTTCTCGATGTGAGATTATTAAATAAAAGTTAAATGAAAGCTAACCAATGAGAATTTTCTTAATTGTTTAAAAGTTAACAATTATTTGAGCGGGAAGTTTATTTTGAATCAAGCAATCTTAGCCGTTTAATATTTTAATTAGGTCAATCTTTAATTTATTTCGAATCAAACAAATTTAACCAATATATTTTGATAAAACCATTAAAATCGCAGTTAAACCAGCGAATCAATCAAACTGAAAACGGTTCACCCTATCGACTAGGTCAAAGGGCCAACCAACTTATACAAAAATTAATTAATTAAAACTTTTAAATTTTATTTTAATTTTAAAATTTAATCTATTTTGAACTGAAACATACACAACACTACAATATTAAATGGAGCATAAGGTTTATATAGTGAAACAACTCATTTTTTTCTCCTTTTCCCGATGTGGGATTGTAAAATAAAAGTTAATAGTTGTTTGGACGAGAAGTTCATTTCTAATCAAACAATCTCAATTGTTCAATTTTTAATAAGGTCAATCTTAGTTTATTTTAAATCAAACATGTAATGACCCAAAAAAATAAAAAAAATAATTAATTAAATAAATAACTGAATAAATATAAATATAAATCAAAACCCTTTCTCCAATCCTCTGCATCAAATCTTATCTTAGATCTGTCCAGGAATCCAATCAATGGGCAATGTGTACTGCTCGGACTGCAACCGAGCGACGGAGGTGGTGTTCGATCATTCCGCCGGAGACACAGTGTGCTCGGAGTGTGGTCTGATGTTGGAATCACACTCGATCGATGAGACCTCCGAGTGGAGGACCTTTGCCAATGAGTTAAGCGGTAACGACCCGGTTCGTGTTGGTGGCCCTACCAACCCACTTCTCACCGACGGAGGCCTCTCCACCGTCTTTTCGAAGCCTAACGGCGTCATCTCCGACTTCCTCTCCTCCTCCCTCGGCTGTTGGCAAAATCGCGACTCTAATCCCGATCGATCCCTCATCTTAGCCTTCAAGACCATCGCCACCATGTCCAATAGGTTGGGCCTGGTTGCAACAATAAAGGATCGGGCCAATGAGTTATTCAAGAAGGTAGAAGATCAAAAATCTAGTAGAGGAAGAAACCAGGATGCAATTTTGGCTGCTTGCCTGTACATAGCTTGTCGGCAAGAAGATAAGCCACACACTGTTAAGGAAATCTGCTCTGTTGCCAATGGAGCAACAAAGAAAGAAATTAGCCAAGCAAAAGAATACATAGTGAAACAGCTAGAGCTTGAGATGGGTCAATCAGTGGAGATGGGTACTATACATGCTGGGGATTTTATGAGACTCTTTTGCTCAAATCTTGGTATGAACAATCAAGCAGTTAAAGCCGCCCAAGAAATTGTCTAGAAGTCGGAAGAGTTTGATATAAGGAGGAGCCCTATATCAATTGCAGTTGTTGTCATTTACATTGTAACACAACTTTCAGATGAATAGAAGCCCCTTAAAGATGTTTAAATTGTAACCGGAGTTGCAGAAGGGACAATTAGAAATTCATACAAGGATCTTTATCCCCATATTTCAAAGATAATACCAAGCAGGTATGCCAAGGAGGAAGACCTAAAGAACCTCTACAGTTCTTGAATTGAGAAGTTGTGAGTAAACACAATAGAGGGAAAAGCAGTCATTTTGAAATTGAGGGCGGAAAAGAGTGTCGTTTGGCTCTGAACGAATATAATTTCTGTTGCCAAAAAAAATTGAAAGCTTCTTGGCTCGAGGTAGAAATTTTTCCAACACTTTTTTATGCACTTTTACTTGATTATAGGGAGCTTAGAGTTGTATATAATTTAATTAGAATTTTTGAAAAACTTGTGATTTATTTGCTTAAAAGAGAAATTTTGTGAAAAAATAAAAAGTTGATGTCCAAATTGTGAAAGTGTAAACATGGAATATGTTTGTAAGGTTATGAAAGAGTTATGTTTTAAATTTGAACAAAACGGACTTTGATTCGATCGGTTTTGAAAATTTTACCGGTTTGCGACCAAAAGAGCATTTTTAAAAAAAATAAAGGAATTATGTTTAACTTTTGGGGCTTTTGATCAAAATAGGATATGATAATTGAATAATGCTTGGAGAATGAGTTTGGAAATAAAATGATGTTTTCTTGGGCATTAACGGCATTATTTTGTTTAACATATCTGTTGGAATAAAACCGACACAGTTAGAAATGGACCTTGAGAGGTTACCAGACGTGATTGTGATATGAAAACTAGTGTAATTGTTCATATTGGATGAGAAGTGGAATAGATGGTATTTATTGAAATTTTTTTGGAATTTAATTGCTTAAATATCTATTTAGAAATATCTATTTTGGGCTATCGATAGATGATAGCCATGATTGTTGTAGAAATGCATGAGACTTAGGTAAATTGAACCATATTTCCCCATTTGTTGTATTGGACATTGCATTACATTCATTTCATTGGAAATGTATTTGTTTTTGAGAAATATTTGAAAATGTATCTGTTTGCGAAAAGATGAATACTCGGTAAATCTGGGTAAGGGGTGTAGAACCGCGCGGTTAGGTGTCAAGCCTTCCAGTTTACTGGTAAAAATGACAGTGGTAGTGCATTAGGGGCTACTTGCAGAAACTCACCTAGAGATTCACAGAGCCAGTATTCATGTAACAGATATGGTTTAAAAATGGAAATGGTTTTATATCTGTTGCTGCATCTCGGCATTGCATGCTTTATAAAAAGAGAGATAAACTGTTTTATCATGAGTATGGCATGAGCATACTCCTCTTTAGTCTTGTCATGGTCCATATGTTGTGTAGTATATCCCTACTGGGCTGTGGCTCACCCTATAAGGGAAACCATTTCAGGTACAGGTGATATGCCTTCGCCAAGACATTGACTTGTGTAGCGATCCCGATTTTGACCCAGTTAACTTCGGGGGTCGAGCTGCCTGGTCAGCTTGCCGAAAGCAAAAATACAAAATGCATTCGAAATTGCTTACGAGAAAGTGTATTTCACGCTCGAGTGACCTTATTATATCAATCCGTAAATTAGGGTTTTAGATCACTTTTTTCAGCCCCCCTCTCTCTAAAACTCTCAAAATTTCCAAGTCTAGAGTTTCTCTCTCTAAAAGTCATCTTCTCTATTTGATTTCTCCAAAGTCGACAAAAGAGTTATGCCGATAAGAGGAGACGACCTTTATCTTTTGAAGTTGGTGACCATGTGTTTTTAAAAATCTCACCAAGGCGGGGTTTGATGAGATTTGGTAAGAGTGGTAAATTATCTCCAAGGTTCATTGGGCCTTTTGAGATCTTAGAGTGAATTGGGGAAGTGAAATACCGGTTAGCTTTATTGCCGCAACTTTCAGGCGTTCACAACGTATTTCATGTAGTTATGCTTAGGAAGTATGAACCCGACCCTTCTCATGTGCTTGATTGGGTTGACTTAAAGGTAGATGAGGATTCCTCTTACGAAGAACGACCAGTTCAAATATTAGATACCAGGGAGCAAGTGCTACGGGGAAAAACTATACCGTTGGTAAATGTGTTATGGAGACACCATAGGGTTGAAGAAGCGACGTGGGAATGGGAGGCAGAAGTCCGCTCTAAGTATTCGGATTTGTTTGAAAATGCTTAAGTTGTTTTCCTTGTGATATTCCCTAGTGTTTGAGGGAAATGTGTTAAAATTGTTGACCACATGTTATTATGTATATTGTTATGTTAAGCATGAAGTAGTTACGGATTGTCATTTCTTTGCTTCATGTTTAGGTTGATGTGGACGGTTGTTGTTGATGAGATAACCATGGTGGAAATAAAAAAAAAAAAAAAAAATTTGTTGAGAGTTAATATTGTGATTTAAAAATGAAATAGCGTGGTTTTGATCGCTAGAAACCCCTTTGTTTGGGTGGTTTGATTTGAAATTTTGAGGACGAAATTCTTTCAGGGAGGCAGGTTATAGTGATCCCGATTTTGACTCGATCAACTTCGGGGGTCGAGCTGCCCGGTCAGCTCGCCAAAAGCAAAAATGCAAAATGCATTCGAAATTGCTTACGGGAAAGTATATTTCACGCTCGAGTGACCTTGTTATATCAGTCCGTAAATCAGGGTTTCAGATCACTTTTTGCAGCCCCTCTCTCTCTCTAAGACTCTATAAATTTCCAAGTCTAGAGCTTCTCTCTCTAGAAGTCATATTTTCTCTTTGATTTCTCCAAATCCATTGGGATTTAGACCTAAGTTCTTCACCAAAGTTGGTTATCACCTCGAGGGCTTCATTATGTATGGTGGAGATCGAGTTTCGACACCGTAGATTTTGGGGTTTCATCTCAGATTCTCTTCAAAACTTGAGGTAGGGATTTTCTACACTCTAATATGGTTTTTAGCTTAGTTATTTGCTATTGTGTATAGATGATGAGATTTGGTTGTGGTTTAGATAAATCTAGGATTTGGGTGTGAAATGAAAAGAGGGGTTTTGATGATTATGAGGTAAATGAGTATGAGGCTTGAATATAAGATCATGTTGTGCCAAAATAGTTGATTTTGGTGTTTGGGTTGATATTTGGTGAAAGGGGGATTCTGCCCTAATTTCGATTAAATTATTATTTTGCATAAATAATTGGGATTAACATTGAAAACGTGAAATTGGAAGGTGTGATTATAAATGGTGATATTGGATATGTATTATCTCACCTATGGAAGTTTTGAATAAACTATTTATTTTGATATTGAACATCTCTTTAGAAATAATTGCATTGGGCTATCGGTGGAGGATATCTATGATTGTTGTAGAAATTACATGAAGATTAGGTGATTTAATGCTAATCCATTCTTGGTGTCATTGAATATGACCATGTTATAGATACATTGTATTATTGGGAGGAGAAAGGGGATGTACTCCATATGTGATTATGTTTATAAATACATTACATATGTGTATTTGTTTGGGAGAAGAAAGGAGATGGACTCCATTTAAAGCAAGTTGGCCAGAGTGTCCTAGGTGAAAGACCCGAAATTTTATATATAAATAGGTGCCGATTCCTTCGGACGAAATATCCGTAAAATGGCAGGTTTGAAGTGTTTATGTGAGTTCTGCATAATTGAAAAATCATTGAGTTGTAGTCTCATTTTGATTGTTGAAAAATAACGAATTTAACTCATGAATTGAGTAGCATATATGAACTGAAAATGAAATTAAAGGAAAATGGAATAAGGTTGGTCTTAGTGGCATATGGATATGCAGGTCTTGTGGATGTTTCAGGATCGATATTGTTTATGTACGTGGTATTTATACCTTTGCTAAACCTCATAAATTGTGTTAAATTATTTCCATTGGGCTGCTGGCTCACCTTATATGGGAATACCATTTCCAGGTACATGTGAGATGCTTCCTCCAAGGTAATAACGTGGATGGAGTTTTGGGAAGCAAGAGCTTCTTAATTATGCCTTATGTGTGTATGTTTGTTATTTGTACAGCCAAGAGCTTAAGATGTAATGAGCGAGACTTAATTTATGTAACCAAGTAATGACTTGAAAACATCTAAGCCTACATGGCATTTAACTGGTTGTTAAACAGTGAACTCTGATATATGAAAGTATGTTGTTTCTGATATTTATTCTGCATATGAGTTATCTTTATTGTATTATTTTGGGGGAGTGACAACTTGGGAGGACTCGGAGCTGAGGCTTCATTTTTGTTTTATTGTTATTTGTTGAATGTAAGCTCAGGGTTGTATTTGCATTGAGTTGAAACTCCATTTTGTGTAACCAAGAATGTTCTTGGATAAATTTGTAAGCCTGTAGGGCACTTATTATCTGTTTGGTTTCCATTTCATACTTGTTGTAAAATGCATGCTTGGGATGGGAACTGGGGCATTGAGATGTGATCAATATGTATTTGGCATTTGGGATTTAATGGAAATGGGTGTATGGAATAGTTAGCTATATATATGTGTTTGTCTATCAGGTAGGTTTTGTTACATAAATAAATATACCTTGCCCAATTTTCGGGGCATTACAAAACAAATCTGAGCAATATATTTTGATAAAACAACTAAAACTGTGGTTAAATCAGTGAATCTGTCAAAACCGAAAACAATTCAGCCTAATCGGCTAAGTCAAAAGATCAACCAATTAACAACAAAATTAATTAATTAAAACCATTAAATTTTATTTTAAAATTTAAACCATCTTGAACTGAAACATGCACAATACTATAATATTAACTAAGAGTATAAGATTCACTTTATATAAGTGAAACAACTCGTTTTTTATTTCTTTTCTCGATGTGTGATTGTAATTATTTTAAAGTTAAACATTATGAGAGTTTCAAAATTTTATACAAAATTATTATTAAAATCAAAACGTCTATATGGGATTGTACAATAAAAGTTAAATGGAAGCTAACCAATAGAGATTTTCTTAATT